CCCCCCCCAGCTCGCCTTAGTGAGTAAATGGGAGGAAGAGGGTTACGATCTCAAAAGTCGGAGTATGTATGATAAAACTACGGTGCTAAACTTTACTTTTTTGCACCTTCAAAATTTGAATAAAGTTCCGTTAAATATGGGCTGTGGACCATAGTGCGTCGCGCTGCACCTCGTTGCACAGTTTACATTGGATTTGACATGGCCCATGCAAAAAACTAAATTGGTCGACAGCATGTCCACCAGAACGGTGTATATCAAAATATCAAAACACAATTCTTTGACGCACCCGACTGATCCATTCGCAAGCAATCTGAATCTTACTTCATTCTCATTATTTTGTATGTAAGGTTCTTTTTTACCAACTGCCATGCTGTGACCAAGCATTTTGTCGAGCGCACTGTGGGCAACGACAACATTTACAAGCAGACGCGTCGACGTACTGCAAATTCATCCAGTGGAGGGGCTGATTTTACCTGAGTTGAATGGCATGTCAAGGCTTGGAAAATGAAAATGAAATGGTATGGCTATGGGTTAACATGGTCAGTAAAAACTAGAAACCAGTACAGAGTAATAAAGAAATTGATCCATACTTCAGGGCAAGAGATGCATTGAATGAGCTTGATAATCTTCATTTCTTTGAAATTGTCTTCACACTTCCACCACTGCAGATGATGCTCGATTTCCATCTTTAAGAACACACAGAAAAAAGAAGAGAAAGGAGGAAAAAAAGATTAGCTATTAGAGACTTGATTTAAAAAATAGACAGGTTGAAAACTAAGCAATTTTCTTGATTTATTGTCACTTGAAAGAATCCTACGTCTTTTCCCCTTCTATATTATTAAAACTTTATGCACTAATGTTATCACTATCATTCATATTTTGCGGCACCAATTATGAAACAGGTTGGCAACTCTTCTTCATACAGGGAAGAGTGTTTTACCTACATTTAATTCAGTATGTGGCCGTAAGTATCTTAATAGGAAGCCATTTGACCCCTATATAGCCATTTTGGCAGAGGAGCCCCAGTAGCTGAAAAAAAATATCAGAAATTTGCCAAAGAAGGTTACTTGCTAGACTGACAAAATAACTCCTCACCTTTCAGCACTGCTGATGTGGTGGCTCAGAGCATTACGTTCTGGCCAAGAGGTGAAATGCGGCTGAGAGGGTCAGAGCAAGATTGAAAATTTTCGGCTATCCAAATGGTAAGTGCTCTGCTCTGGAGTATCAAGAAATAGCTCCGCACTAGAGATATAGTTCCTTTAGAAGTTAGTACGGACTTTCTTGCTATCAAGGGCATTTAGGACCTTCCTGAATTTTTGTTGGGTGGATGTTTTGTGACGGTCTGCAGCAGTCATTTATATTCTCGCGGGGATATGCTCGGCCGTTGCATGACGCGCCCCTCCCCCGGACCTCGAGTTGGGAAAAAACCAACATTGATAAGAAGCTGGAAAATAGGGCCGTCAAGAAGTCCCTTGATGGCACGGAGCGCCTTCAGTGGGATGGGCCGCGCAGTGGCTGGGGGACGTTTCCCGTAGTGTGTATATACTTATATTCAAACGGCATGCATATTCGTAATCTACGACGCATGATAGATGCTCATTACATGGTCTTTGGTCTGGGTCTGACATCAAAGGAGATGCAATAGTGTATTTCCTTCGGAGAATACACTAAAAAAGAGATAAGGAATTTTTACTTTCTACATATAAACTACAAGAGAACGCTGAGAGTTCAGTCCCAGGTCCTTCGGCCTGAACACAAAGCCCCCATCTGCATACAATGCTGTTGCAACACTGAAACGAGAGGAGCGTTATTTTGCCACTTTAAATAACTACTCTTTTCCCTGATTTGATAAAAAAAAAAAAAATTAATTTTCAGGACCCATGCACACAACCAGTGAAATTGGGAAACACTATTTTTATGGAAAGAAACTTTTGGAAAAATGCACACCGATCTAAATCTCAATGGGACACTTACATGACCTCCTCCTGTTAAAAATACACTCATTTTCAACTAAGTGAAATACTCGTATTTATTCCTCAAGTAATTGAAGAGGTTTATTTGTTACACATTTTCAGGCTCATTAGTTTTTTTTTTAAAAAACGTGGATACATATGGCCCTATCTATAAAAAAAAAACTTATTAGGGGGAGGGGAGGGTCAGGGGAAGGAAGAGAAAGAGCAATCTCTTTCTTTCTAAAATGCAATCATTTTAAGGTTTTCTAAATTGTGTGACACAATTCGCTGAAACAATTCTTTGCAACTTATAATTGAGTTGTTCAGTGGCAGTGGACATATTCCAATGTTTTCTTCATATTTTAAGAAGTAACCTGGGATGAGTGAACAACTACAGTAGAGACGATGGTACTTACTTCAATGAAACGAGCAATTATCTTATCTCGAATTAACTGGTTTTCAAGAAAATATTTGTCCAAAAACTCATTGACTAATCTGCTGCATTCATCTATAGGTGCTCGGCTTAACAGAATGAAGACGACTTCTTCCGGGCTATCCTGAGAGCAAAACGTCAAGTTGGAAATGGAGCTCTTGCATGTAAAAGAAAGGGGTACATGCAAAACGGGTCATTTCACGCTCGTGTCGGATACCATTGAAACTTGCCCTAATCATTCATCTAACAATGCCCCATGTTTTCCCAAAGTTTCAAGTCCCCAAAAAAATTTGGGGGGAAATGGCTGGGGGTCAAAGTTGAAAATCCGCTAAATTTTCGCGTAATTTTTACTCAAAAACTACTAATCATTTCGAAACACGGTTTAAACGAGCGTTTTCAGCGTGAAAAGAGCTTTCAGAAAATGTATAATATCATAGGGTTTTGTCGACTTAAACTCGAGTTATCGCCTCCGAAGCGCCGTAACGCTATAAAATGACACGCTTTTTCGTCACGTTCGGGCCGATCCCCAGAATACTCCATTTTTAATTTCTTTGAAAAACTGATATGTTGTTCCTGACTCTCTATGGCACCTATATGTCTTTACCGTATCCTGGGGAAACGTTTTGTTCGCGAGTTATAAGCGCAGAAAGGAGCGAAGGTCGGGAAAATCGGCTATTTTAAACTGCGCGCGGCGACGGATCAGGAGACATGTGGCAACAATGCGAGGTCGGCAGAGAAGTGTGATTGGCCGAACTGAGCAGGAGGGGGCGTTCTCATTCTAACCCATGCGACGCGCGCAGTTCATAATAGCCGATTTTCCCGACCTTCGCTCCTTTCTGCGCTTATAACTCGCGAACAAAACGTTTCCCCAGGATACGGTAAAGACATATAGGTGCCATAGAGAGTCAGGAACAACATATCAGTTTTTCAAAGAAATTAAAAATGGAGTATTCTGGGGATCGGCCCGAACGTGACGAAAAAGCGTGTCATTTTATAGCGTTACGGCGCTTCGGAGGCGATAACTCGAGTTTAAGTCGACAAAACCCTATGATATTATACATTTTCTGAAAGCTCTTTTCACGCTGAAAACGCTCGTTTAAACCGCGTTTCGAAATATTTAGTAGTTTTAGAGTAAAAACTACGCGAAAATTTAACGGATTTTCAACTCTGACCCCCTTCCGCCATTTCCCCCCAAATTTTTTTAGGGACTTGAAACTTTGGGAAAACATGGGGCATTGTTAGATGAATGAATAGGGCAAGTTTCAATGGTATCCAACACGAGCATGAAATGGCCCGTTTGGCACGTACCCCTTTGCTATTTAAGTTCAGAGTCCTCTGTAAAATTTTACGAGAAACACGATGGAGCCACTGGTTTTCTCTGAAATTACGAGGGTCGTCCCAAAAGTCTTGCGCGTTTTGCTCTCATTTAAAAATTATTTAAGGTAGGGAAAATTCGGTTAGATGTGCATATGAGGCATACCCTCAGCTGTAATTTAAGCCCAAGTTTTTAAAAATCGGATAAACAGGACGCTCAGGAGGTCATTTCTCCTGCGCGCCTTTTATGCATTTCCAGCCACCTCCGGGCGCGCGATAAGTCAGCATTTTCAGAGCCCACCTGGCACAATGTTTTTTTAGTTCAATCATTGGTGAACTATTCGATGCAAGACAGATTGAGAAATTTCTGGCAAATACTCAAGGTCGTCAAGTGTCATTCGGCGATCTTCGCATATTGTAGCGTCGACTCATTGCACTAAGTCACTATCGATCATCTCAGGCTTTCTCGTGCGCTTCTGTTCTTCCTTTGCGAGACGTCTGGCTCGACCTCTGGACGTTTCTATCCCTCATTGCGTTTGCCCTGTAAACTGCTTGAAATATGCAAATAATGTCTAATGGTCTAACCCCTTCCGAAGTCAAAATCGAATTACTCACCGAACTTTGCAGTTCTCTGGCTTTGAAAATACCATAACTTAACAACAAACTTTACACAAAAAGCTTGCGCAAATGTCGAAAGAACACAGATGGCATTCATTACCGAGGGCCTAGAAAACATCATGCTGAACATGCAAACAATCTGGTAAAAAATGTTGATAAGAATTTCTAAGTGATCGGATCAGATTGGCCACGGTCGTCAGCACATCTTACTGATCACGGAAACCATGCGCCTGGAGGTGGCAGGAAACGCATCGAAGGGGCTTGGGAGAAATAACCTCCGCAACGTTCCTAATTTAATTTGAATAAACTTAAGCTTTAATTACAGCTGAGAGTATGCTTCATATACACATCTGACCGGACTTTCCCCATCTTTAGTAAGTTTTAAAGGAGAGAAAAACTTGCTAGACTTTTGGGATGACCCTCATGACTCCAAAATTCAAAAAAAGCTCTCAAAGTTGTGGCTGTAATGGATGGTATATCCCACCTTACCCTGAGAGCCCACCTCTATATCGAAACAAACTCTCTGTGCAAAAATAGGGAGCAAATATATTAGCAGGGTTGCCGCGTTTTCAATTATGGAGTCCCTAAACAAAGTAGCAACCCTGTTAATGTATTTGCGCCCTATCTTTGCAAGTATAATGATGAGCAAATCTATATGTACTAAAAATACCTAAAAGGAAATGAGGGGAAAAGGGGGAGGTCTTGAGGAAGGGGACAATAGCAAGGGTACGGCTCTGTTGAAGGGAAGTTGTATGAAAAGTGAATGGTCTTCTCCGATCTCTTCAACATCTTCAAATAGGGTAAAAATACTATGTTTTTAGCCAAAAATCGAAAAGTGTAGTTCGAGCTCCTCGAAAAATAAATCGACTTATAGGTTTTTTCCTGAAAAAAAAAAAAATCACGAAATCAAAGAAATTTCCTTTTTTTCAGGGACACATCCCTCAAATGATAGCACAATAGAATGAGCAACTTACAAAAAACTCTGTCTCAGTTAATTGGAGGTGAGACGCGTTATATGCACAAACGGCCCGCAACTGAGCGGTTGCGTAATTTTCATGGGTCTCTGCCACTTTGAATTTGTTTTTTATTCTATTTAGCTATTATTTGAGGGATATTCTTTGTTATATGTAATAAAGTAAACTTTATTTCTGTTTGACAATCAATATTTTTTAACAAATTAGACTGAATCATCATTTATTGTACATTTTTTCCCTCATAAAGTATTGAAAGTGCAAAAAAAAATAATGAAAATAATAAAAAAACTCAATGAACATAGTTTGTATATTTTCTTAAAGACTCTAGCTTTCTATTTTCTATTGACCTCGCACTTAGTATGACACATTTTAGTAGCCAAAAACACGATAATTACAGTAGGTAATTTGGAAAAGCTATGATAAATGGCCAAATTTGGCAACCATGGATTTTCACTGAGACAGGTGTGATTCATAATGTGTCATATGAGACACAGGGCCCTCAGGTAATGTTCAGAGTGACCAAAATCTTCCCGAAAATGACGGGGGGAAAATTAAGAGATGCCTCCCCACAAAAAAGAGTAGCCAAAATACAAGGTTTCATCTGCGACATAGATTCATATTTTTTAATCAAGATTTTTTAAAGCTACAAAAAAAACCAAGATACCATTCGAAAGCTTACAACTTCAGCTTTCTAACGACATGTTGCTTTTTATTTTGGTGCATTTGGGCGGCGAGAAATTGACTTTAACTGGAGCCGCCCGTGTTTCTTCGTTTTTTAACATGGTTCCGAAAAATTCCTTTAAGCCAGCGTTGAGTTGCTCAAAATTCAAAAATTATTATAACAATAGAAAGCTGAGAGTGTGGTCTTTCTAATGGTGTACATGTTTTTTTTAACTTCAAGAATAGCCGAGATAAATGCAAGGGAACCGGCCGTCCGAGTTAGCGGAAAATTCCTTGATATGATTGCAGTAAAATTCAGTTTATAGGCGGCCAGTTGCTCCGAATTACAAAAACTACAGACCGTTAGAAAGCCGAAAGCAAGAGCTTTTTAACGGTATAGTTGCATTTTAGTTTCCGATAAGATTTGTCCCTGAAAAAAATGGAAATCTCTTCAATTTCGTGATTTTTTTAAGAAAAAATCTAAAAGTCGATTTATTTTTTGAGGAGCTCGAACAACACATTTCACTTTTTGGCTAAATACATAGTACAAGCGGGATCGTTATTTCTGCGAAAAATAGTTTTCCGTAACCCGCCGTACATGACTCAGTTGACCACAGGAGATTACCCGGGCCCGAAGTCATGTTAGTGAAGAAAGCCTTTCCCCTCATTGATATCGCATCTTCTCCTACCGTATCTCTCACATCTTCGTTTCCCCTCATTGCAGCATGCATCAAATTGCGATTATCCGGAATATACGATCACATGCCTTATCTGATCGAATCCGAAGACTTGTCTCACTGGGTCAACAGTCGGTTAGTTTAATTTCATTTCGAAGAGGACAGAAGACCCATCGCTCTTGGCGCCCTGGCCCTGCTGATACCTATCTAGGCGCCAGTGTAAGGCGCCATGCAAGCGGGGGGGGGGGGCAACNGGGGGGGGGGGGGCGGCAACCAGCCTTTGTGTTTGAGCTAATTGAAAATTACTTTGATAACTTACTTTACTTTGTTCTTTTTAAACAGTCAAAATATTCAAAACTTTTGTAACACAAGTCGTTTGTTATGGATCACTTCCTTTTATTAGGTATTGTCTTGATTATGATACGAAATTAAAAAATATTAATCACGTTTCAATCGTGTTCAATCTTCATAGTATTTTCTTTCCTTTTATTTAATACTCGTCCCCCCCCCAAAAGAAATATTTGATAAAAGGGCATAACTTGATGAGATTAAGAAACTGTAAATAATGCTTCAGTCGTTTGTGGATGAAATATTTTGCTCTTACGAAAGCTTTTGTGAATAGTACTAAATAATGCTATTGAAGATTTTTATTAAATTTAAATTAAATGTACTTTCTGTCTCAAGCAATCAGTTTCTTCCAATAATGTGGTCAATTTAAAGAATAAATCAATCAGGAAGAAGAAAACTCCTTTATAGAGATGTAAGTTTTGTATCTTTGAAATTAAAATAATAATATATATCATCAGTAAAGGAGTAGAAATGAAACAGCATTTAAAAAAAAATCATAAGTCAACGGAAATGTAGAAACAAAGTATAACAAA